TTGTTTTTATACTATAGTTTTGCTAAGGAATGTAATTTTTTAATACAACAAAACTTCAAAAACCTGTGAGGGGGTAGTCACTTTCGTCCCTCTCATTCACTATGCTCCCTCGCACCGTACTGATAGGGGAGGGGGGGGGGGGGGGTTGGGGGCAGTTCCCCCAAATGAAATTTAAACGTGGTTTATTTCTAATTCGATACCAGTGATGTACAAATGTTGTTGAAATGGCATGATTTTTCCCTGAGCTTCCGGGGGCTCTGCCCCCTGGACCCAACCAAGTGCCCTAAGGCGGACCCCTGGTTGCTCATATGATCGTAATTTAATGCCTAAAACCCCTGAGCTCTCTGCCCCCTGGACCCCACTCCAATAAGTGACCTGCACGCTAGTGTCACAAACAAGGTATCAAAATAATCATTAAATGCCTTAAACCCCTGAGCTTCATGAGGCTCCGCCCTTGACACCGCCGGGGCTTTGCCCCTGGACCCCACGCCAATTTACGCTCCACTTTGCTTTGCTTTGCTCTACCTGATCGTTAATACTTTAGCCCCCCCCCCTCCCCCCAAAAAAAATAAACAATAAAATTGAAAAACGTTTCCAGGGCCTGCGTAACATGTTAGAGTGGTGGTGATGCAGATTTTTGTCTGCCCCCTCCCTTTTTGCTCAATACGCCACTGCCTCTTCATCCCTCGCATTTCGTCCCCCCTGGTCATGAAAAGAAATCGCCGCCCCTGGGCCTCAGCATTATCTCTGTTTAGTTTTTGTAGTCGTAAATCAAAACTTTCCATAAAAAATTTACTATTACAATTTGGTGCTCTATACACACATCCAATAATTGTTTTCTTATTGTGACCATCCAATTCTACAAATATGGCTTCATAACCTGCAAGCGCGTAGCCAGGATTTCATTTTAGGGGGAAGTAGTGAGCGTGCGATTCACTTTAATAGAGAGCGCGCGAAGCGCGCTCCCTAGTGAGGTTGGTGCAGGGAGGGGGGGGGGGTTGACATTTCATTAAATTATTAGAGAAAGGAGACGATTCGTTGTACCGTTCTCGACTCTTAGTCCTTGTCTAAATTCAGTTTCTTTTGACGTTTCATTAAATTATAAGAGAAAGAAGACGATTCGTTGTACCGTTCTCGACTCTAAATCCTTGTATGAATCAAGTTCCCCTTCCCTCCGCGCGTAGCGCGGAAGCTCTGACGTTTCATTAAATTGTTAGAGAAAGAAGACGATTCGTTGTACCGTTCTCGACCCTTTATCCTTTTTCTTCCTATGTCCTCTTCCTTTCTTCTCTCTTTTTTTTTTGGGGGGGGGGGCGACCGCACCCACCGCCTCCTGGCTACCCGCCTGATAACCGGGCTCAATGCCTGACAGATCATGACGAAGTTTGAAGACTTCCCTTATGTACAAGGCCACCCAACCACCATTTTTACCAGATCGACACAAGGAGAGAATACCCAGGGATTTGGAACGCCTTTATATCAGAGGAAGGTTTAAAACCAGGTTTCTGATATACTAATTATCGAGAAATTCATCTTGTGTCGGCTTTCATTCAAACTTTCAGCAGTCTACTTCTCTGATTTGTTCTACTTTCCTCTAGAGTTTGCTCTACATGCATCATGCAGACTATAAGAGAAGGCTGAAAATGTAAATGTAGTGGGCTTTCGGTGAAGTGAACCTCAAAAACAATTTCTTTCAAACGTGAGAAAATCTGGACAGTATAAACACCTATTCTAAAGAGGAAATGTCAAATATTTTATCCAGGATTTTCGTTGATGATGATATTCGTTCCAATTCAATGGTCTCGATGAAAAGAAGGCCAAAAATCTGCGTTCATGGAACCTAAAATATTTGAATAGTATTAATGGCGCAGCCCCATCAACTTTGTTTTGTTCATTACACACACCCGCCCTCCTTACCCTTCTCTTTCTCTTCCTCTCTCTCTCTCTCTCTCTCTGCCCCCCTCTCTCTCTCTCTCTACCTAGCACTCTCTCTCTGCCCTCTCTCTCTCTCTGCCCCTCTCTCTACCTAGCTCTTTCTATCTCTCTCTACCTAGCTCTTTCTATCTCTCTCTCTCTGTCCCCCTCTCTCTCTCTGCCCCTCTCTCTACCTAGCTCTTTCTATCTCTCTCTCTCTGTCCCCCTCTCTCTCTCTGCCCCTCTCTCTACCTAGCTCTTTCTATCTCTCTCTCTGTCCCCCTCTCTCTCCCTGCCCGCCCTCTCTCTCTCTCTCTCTCCGCCTCTCTCTCTCTCTCTCTCTCTACCTAGCACTCTCTGTCTGCCCTCTCCATGTCTGTCCCTCTCTCTACCTAGCTCTTTATATCTCTCTGTGTCCCCCTCTCTCTCCCTGCTCCCTCTCTCTCTTTGCCTCTCTCGAACTCTCTCTGTCTCTCTACCTAGCTCTCTCTCTCTCTCTCTGTGTGCCTCCCTCTCTCTCTGCCCCTCTCTCTCTTCCCCTCTTTCTACCTAGCTCTCTCTCCCTCTCTGTCACCATCTCTCTCTGCCCCCCCCTCTCTCTCTATCTCGAACTCTCTCTCTGTCTCTCTCTTACTTACTCTTCTTCTCATTAATTTTTTAATCACTTTGACATCAACATTATTCTGTACTAAACAACAACCAAGAATTGTTTTAAAAGATGATAAGAACTGTATTATTAATGTGACCATTTGAATATCAGTGTGGAAAATGAAGTACCTTTAAGATGTTGCCAATCGAAATATCATTGTATTTTTTCTCTACGTATCACTCGTTCTATCTTCCTCATGCTCTCTCTTCTATCATCTTCTCTTGTTCGTTCTATTTCTAGATCCCATTGTCTGCAGTCCACCAAACATCTTCAGTAGGGAACTCGTAATGATAAATAGTATAATCGATGTATTATTTTAGAGAGAACGCCAACATAGAAACAATAGAACATTATATCGAAAGATAGTAGCTTTATTATAAGAGAAAAGTAATACATTTTGTGATACGATTAATCCCGGTACATAATAGTATTCTATACACATTTTAATCATTATTCAATATCTCAAGAAATTCATGTAATCTGTATATTTAAAAGAAAAATTATATCAACATTTCGAGTTATTTGATTATACTTAATATATACAAGTAACATAATATATACACCAGTAATCATTATATTTTTTTGTGTTTTTTTATCAAAATTGTCAGAATTGATTAATACAATAACATAAACAAAAGTTGTTTAATGCAAAGAATTTAAACGGTTGGCCGATAAACATAAGACCAATACACATGGACAAAAAGTAAGCTATGCGTAACTGTTTAATGACTATGTTCATTATTATTATTAGGAAGGAATTTCTTGAATGCTATGAGCGCCGAAATCGGCTGCCTAGCTAAGCCGGGGTAATAGTTGGAGCGCCTTGAGCACCATGCATGGTGAATATGGGCGCTGCATAAATATCAATATTATTATTAACATTATTATTAACGTTGACAGTCTTTAGGATGATGTTGTGACGTTGTTATCGTTTTTGTTTCATAATGGTAAATAAATGGGGAAAAACACAACAGTAGTAAAACTGGGTATATAATCATCGCTAAATAATACGAGTAAACGATTATTTGTTTTGATCAACAACTGTATAGCCTATGGATATCAATTAGGTGTAAAGTTTCATGATTAGTGGCTAAACAAGTAAAATGCATTTGTTAAGACAAATAACGTAAATTATCACTGCAGGAAGATATTTATTAAAACGGCTATAAACCAAATATAACTGCAGTAGGGTACTCCTTATGATTACATGTAGTTCAGAAGAAACACCCCCGGCGTCGTTTAGTGGGTTGGCTTAAAATAAACGCATAATGGATGGTCTAGAAAACAATAAGCCTACTGTGTACAATTACATTGAAATTAAAAAATGTCATCAAATATTCTAAAGCCACAGGCCCGAATTCACAAAGGAGGTTTGTCGACAAACCGAGGTTTATGTGCGTCATACGACGCGTTTCGACGCGTTTTTACAAACCTTGGTTTGTAAAAAACAAAAGGAGGTTTGTCGAAACAAAAGTGAATTTGGGCCACAATGTCTAAAATGTCAACAAATATTTAAGTAATGATCAAATTCAGTACTGGCATATCAGTGAAAGCCGCTAATATTTAAAATAACCACTCATAAAAATATTTATTTTGGCATGAATTACAATTATCTAATCAAACTTGTGATGTAAACTTCTGCTACACATCTAGCTAATGTATTGCGTGTTACCCGGTATGGACTACATATAACCAATAAAAACGAGTCTTGTAACAAGATGTGCAATAGAGGATATGACCTACAACTAACCAATCTAATATGTCTTAGGGAATGTACTAAAAATTCACTAATCATGAATGCATTTAACTAATTACCCATTATTTATTATTGCATAAATAGCCAGAAACATTGAAAAGGAATTGTACCTTAAAACATATGTTAAATTCTTTACATCATATAAACTTGTTATAAAAGAGCAACGCCAATTTGGAATAATGCTCGGATAAACTGACGATTGCGATGCAAAATTCACCGCTATCTGTTAGATAGTTCATGACTTATTTCATTTACTTCGTAGTCTAGCCTCAGTCTATGTAACATAAACCAATGCTCGTTAACATTCACCATGTTTGTACTATCTCATCGCTTTGGCGCTATCGTCTATATTTATTGCCAAATTTGTGAATGTCAATACGATCCCACAGTGCCGAAGTCACTATGAACATGACGGACAAAGAAAGAGGACAACATATACCTCAATAATTGTTGTGGTAGACAAAGGAACATCCCTTCACTGATATTATGTAAAAATGAGTAAAACAGGTGAATATGCATGTGACACCTGTTCTACATATTTTTACATAATAGCAGTGAAGGGATGTTCCTTTGTCTACCACAGCAAATGTTGAGGGTAGAATGAGGAACTGTATATTTTGTCCGCTTTCTTTGTCCGTCATATTCATAGTGAGTATCAACGAAAACTCTTAATCTGCGAAGATATCCACCCCTTCCGGAGGATAGATTTCAGTCAGTGATCAATTTAACTCTTATGGTGCGTATTGTGTGTATTAATTGGTGCATATTTTCACCTCTGGCACTGCAAGAGTTAACGAGAGCTTGATGTACGCATAGAGATCCAGTTATCACACTGGCATTTTAAGATGTATTTGAAAGCTTTCCTGAAATCCTTGTTAAAAATAGTGTATATGATGGGGTTGATAATGCTGTTCATCCAACCCAACCAAGAGCATGCAACAAAAACTTCATTTGAGGCCATAATTTCTCCCTGTGAAGCAGCGTAGATGAGAACCGTAGTGAAGTAAGGCAACCAGCAGATAATGAACGCACCTACTACGATCGATAGGACTATGGCCGCTTTCTTCTCCTTGCTCACTGAAATACGTGGAATGCGAGACGTCCGCCGTTTCAACGGAGGTCGGGTGTCCTGCTTGTCCAGAAGATCAAGAGAGTTCTCTGTCGAAGCCGATGTACTGATCTTGCGGAGAGGGTTGTTGATAACGTTGATGTTTCCCATACTACCGGTCGTTGTTGTATACTCTGTCTTGCCGTTCATTGTGATCCCTGCGTTTGCATTGCCACTGCTATCACCCATACTGTCGGGACAACTTGAGGACTGCTTTCGTCTGCGGACAGCGGAAGGCTTGCGGAGGAAGTGGTCTCTTGCCGCTATGAAGATACGGACATAGACCCCGAGAACGAGAAGACACGGTAGGTAGAAGGCGATGATGCAGGCCGTAATAACATATGGAAAGTTGACATTAAGGTAGCACACGTTGGGTTCACGGTAGTTGTAATGCATGAGAACCATGGAAGGTAATGTAAGAAGCACGGGGACGCCCCAAGCCACTGCCATGGCAATACTGGCTAGCTTAGCAGATCTCCTGTTGGCATACCAGATGGGCTTGGTGATGGCGAGCCAACGATCTCCCGCGATGGCGCAGAGGTTCCAGACTGAAGCTGTACTGAGGATGACATCCAAGGATAGCCAAGTAGTACAGAGGACATCGCCTAGGTGCCAAGATCCAAAGTTCAGTGCCTCATACAGACCCAATGGTAGGACGATCACACACACAGCGAGATCAGATATGGCCAGGGAGACCACGAAGGAATTAGCCACAGTACGAAGCTTTTGTATTCTGACGACAGCAATGCAGACTAATGTGTTGCCAAATATACCTACAAAGATGATGATAGGCAAGAAGATCATGGCGACAATGCTGACCTTCTCTTCCGGGTCAATCGTTCCATTGCCATTAGCATCACGTGACATTCCAACTTCTGCCTCTTCCGAGCCATTCACAAACGTGATATTCTCCATGCTCATCTCGTGTTCTAATATGAAAGAGAACAAAAGCAGTAACATTAGTCACAAGATGTTTTTCTTTTTATAATGAAAGTTATTACAAAGGTGTTGATCAGAAGCATATAGCCATTTTAAAATTTAATTTAGGGACGGAAATCAAGGTCATATTGCATGCAAATCATATAATTTACGCAAATAAAATAAAATGTGTTTGAAATATGTTCCCACAAATAAAAATGAAATAAAAATAAAATGCAATAAATTTTTCAATAATTTATTGAATCCCCCCCCCCCGGTCCTAAAGAGGAAAAGAAATTCTGTGTGCCTATGCCTTGAGCCATAATGCATGGTCGTACAGAGGATTTTGTTATGTTGGGGGCCGGGGTAAAATGCAATTAATTATTGAAATTTAATGCATTTTCTTTGTTGTTTTTTTATTTGTGGGAACTGCCCCCTACAGTCAGGGTTCAGTGGCCAAGTAATGGCCTCGTAACTGTGAGGCCCCAGGATCAAAACCGTGTCGATGTGCTATATTAGTGCCCTTTTGTGGGGCATTAATCCTCATTACTGTCATTTATGACTTAAGGGCGTAGGTCCCCTAGTTGATAAGCATAGTAGCATACACATGCTTTAGAAGTCACGCCAAACAAACACTGGCAAATTATTATTCAATAAAATCTGAGAATGTATACTATTATCTAGATCTATTAGGAATAAATCATTGTCAAAATAATTCCATAAATTGGGGTGAAAAAAAAAATTCCAACTATATGAGCAATGTCAGTGTACTACTACTACTTCTACTACTATAATAATGCTTTCCCATCTTCAAATTTGCTTAAAGAATTGTGTAAACATTATATCCATGTACATGATACGATATAAATAAGCCACACATACCTGTTTAGAGTATCCTAAATCATTTGCCTGTAGCTATGGATGAACGGTCTAAGCAACCATAAATCGATGCTCTCGCTTTGCCAAGAATCTCTGTTGTGATTGTGCAGCTGCCTTCTGCTCACTTCCTAACTAACTTTGAACGTGCGCTTACGCGTTTTACGCGTTCTGTTTCACGGCCGGCGGTGTCGCTTCCCTGTACTAACATATCCGTCTGATATTTCAGGCTAAGCACGCTGTTTCTTGTTTCAATGACATTGTCAGATGGTCTGTCTAATCTAACAAGATGTTAAGCGTAACGTCAAATCCTTGTACAAGAAGCGGGTATGACACTGTCATATACCCGTATTATTTACCACATATCAATATCCTAAAGGCTTCACACTTGATTTACCCTGATAAATCTGGTTTTAGAGAGTATAATATGAATATTGGGACCAGGGGGGCGTTTCAAAAAACAATTTATGTTATAAGCTACTGAAAGCTTTGCTTCTGATTGGTTATCAGCAGATATGTCACTGGTTTTTGTCATTTGTCATTGAAAAAAGGCTTTGTGAAACGGGTCCCAGGTGAGAGTTTGTTTTTAAAACAATCATTCAGCTGAAATAATGTTAAAGTGACCTATGATAATGTGTAAAAAGGGTAATGAATTTCATCTGACATTTTGCAAACTGAAAATAATACCGAACAGACCTGAAATTTGTTTTCACACTCTTCATCAAAAAGATGTACTGTTCGTATACAAAAAACATAAAATATTCAATGTTTAATCCTCCTTCTGGATATCTAGAAGCTTTTGAAAGTGTCCATCAGGAATTCCTTCTTCATGTGCTAAAACGATTTAATTTTAGTAATGAATTTAGATGCAAATATTTAACTCCGGTAGAAAAAACTATGCTCTGAATCATTGAAATTCAACTAAACCGATCGGAAAGGGCTTATTTCAAGGGTGTCCTCTATCCCCATATTTGTTTTTATTAGTTATTGAAACTATGGCACTTGCTATTCGACAAAACGGATTTATAAAAAGTATCCCAGTAGAAGAAAAGGGATTTAGAATTTCTTTGTTATAGTAGATGATTCTAGATGTTTTACCGAAGGCTCAAATAACTCTTTTAAATCATTATTTGACACAAGAGAGGAAATTTCTCAATTGTATAAATCAATTAATGTTCTTATAGCTCTGACAGTAAGCTCAATGTAACTGAATCAGAAGCCGCATGGACCGGCACCAAGAAGTGATCTCAATTTTATCAATTTTTCGATAATGGTTAAAAGCGGAAGAAGCATAGTTTTTAAACATTGGGAATACATTTTACTTTGAATATAAATCAACAACAATAGCTTAAATCCATTAAAAACAAACACTATGAATTATTGGCGCGCAAAAACTTATCCCTAGTTTGAAAGTTTTGTCTTGTAAAACCCTATTATTGTCACATCTTCTATTTTTTCCCTCTGTATTAAGATACCGAAGATTTTTTTTAAATACAACTGGTTGAAAACTTCTCTTTATATAATCAATTTGAAATTTGTCGTACCTTTCGAACGCTAACAGCAATCTTCGTCGGACTGAGGCCGTCGTAGGTGGCGTTTATAGACAGCTGCGAGGGAATGGGGTTGATCCGTTTGAGGGAATTGATTCAGATTTTGAAAGACTCCCGTATCCATCTCGCTTGCTTTTGGTCCTCTTTAGTCAATGTTTTGCACGTGTTCAAGTTTATTGATGTTATGTCATCTCTCCATCTTCTCTTCTGCCTTCCTCTTCTTCTCTTTCACATCATACATGGGAACGGCCGCTTGGACGAGGACAGCTAGAGACAGAAGAGAATGGAAATGTTATGAGGAGGGCTTTGTCCAACGTCTGGATGAAGCATAGCCTGATAGATAGATAGAAGTTTATTGAGTGGTTGTTTGTTGCTACAAGATCCCCAACGGCAGATTTATGCATGATGTTTTCCGCTTTTTGTTTTCTGGCTCTTGTGAAGGGAGTTTTGGTGATGTGTTGGAGACTTCATCCTTGTGTTCATACTGATACCGAAAGGTCTACTTGTTTCTCCATATACAGTCAAACCTGTCTATAGCGACCACCCAAGGGAAAAGTGGACTTTGTAGACAGGTGGTCTTTTTAGACAGGTGGTCTCTTTAGACAGGGGTCTTTACTACATGATTCAATGAGAAGCCATTTTCAAGGGAAACATCAACTGTGGCCTTTGTAGACAGGATCGCTCTTTGTAGACAGGTGGTCACTAAAGCAGGTTTGACTGTACATTCCTTTGGGTGTACGAGTAACCTCTTGATCATTAATTTGATGATTTCTTGCTGCTGTGGCAAGGTTGATTTATATAAACACACGTTGTAGAGCCTCTCAGTGTAGTTCCCTTGATGTAAATGGTAATACCACCATTTCTTTGTTCTTGGTCTTGTTTTGGGGTTGTTTTTTGTGATCGATTTGGTTTGTCTCTCTCTTCCACTCTTTTGAAACTCCAAAAAGAATATCCACACCTTTTCATGGCCATGGTGACATGTTGAAGTTCAATATTAAGGTCATACTTTTCTGTGGCGATATTTTTTTGCACGGTTGGAGAAGGTTTGGATAATGCCGACAATGCTCACATGTTTGGGGTATGAATACTACAACAAAGGATATGAATAAATGCACAAATTGGCGAGTGATTGTTTGCACGCAATCTAGAGTAAAATAATCCTTAAATTGGGCACGTTGGGGAATTGATCCCCTCTCAAAGTGCCACATTTGAGATGTTTTTATTTTCTTAATATAAACAAAATAATATAAGTAATGTTATCAAAAGTTTACAAATATGAATAAGGGTTAAATACAGGTACTCTTTCAAAATAAATGTACAGGTAATGGCTAGCTCCGCTTGAGTTTCAAAATCTATGAAGGTAAAAAATATTTACAGTATTTCCTGTATTAAAACATGGCCCTATGAAAGGAGATTTTATAGATTTTTGCAAAGCAAATATTTACCAGATGAGAGCAGGAAACAAAAGATTTTTTTCTTCAACATTTTAAGGATACATCAAGCATTGAATAGTCGATACATGACATCATGATTTCATGCTGCTGCATGTAAAGTATGGTCACACAGTTTTGCATAAAGTCAAATTGTACATGCTAATGATCAAACATCAATCTGTGGCGCACGTAGGCCTATAATTATCATGAAGCTGTTCTAAGAGTGGGACACAATTAGCAACATTAAATGTAATATTAAAGGTACTATGTCCAAAAAATGAAAAGGTTAAATTCCAACGGCATTTGAAAGACAATACTAATTTAGAACTCCCCTAAACAAATAGACAAGTAGATGTAGACAAATGCTCATGTACAGCTCATTTTATGTATGTTATTACCAAAGATGAAAAAAGCCAGTCAGTCACTCAATATAGTGACTGACAGTGAAGTCTAGCGAGTAAACGGGTTTCCTTGCATAATTTGAATATTAGGACACTTCTAACGTTTACATTTCACAGATAGGACATAATAATACATAACATATTCATAATTCCTTCAAAGTTTTACAGAATTTGATGTTGGCTGCAAAAGGGACATAGTTTCTTTAAGAGCCCTCAAAAAAGTGTAAAAATAGCGTATTGCATTACCTCCTGATGAGGAACAAGAAAGACCGCCCTCTACTGATCGTCCTGGATTTAGCAACTAGCTGGGAATCTAGGGAAGAGAGTTCTAGGGATCACTCAGCAACAGTAAGTCTGTGATATTTCTTAGGTGTGAAGTACCAAATTAAGGTAGCGATACATTTCCCTAAGCCTCTTCAACAATTCTCTTAAGCGACCTCAAGCATCCTCAACAACTATCGAGAAAAAATGAAAGTAGTCTGCTCTTGAAAACCACTTTCATACAGTACATCAAATAATTCATTGCATTCTACCCCGAGCCCCAACACACAAATCTTCTATGTGGGCATGCCTTGAACCACAATACATGGCTCTACAGAGGAATCTTTCCTGTTGGGGACTGGGGGAAAATGCAATGAATTATTGAAAATTTATTGCATTTTTTTTTTTTTTTGTGGGGGCGTCGACGTAACCTAGCGCCTGCTGCGCACAGTCATGATTCATTGGCTAAGCAATGGCCTTGTTACTGTGAGCCCCCATGATCAAAACCGTGTCGATGTGCTATATTAGTGCCCTTTTATGAGGTATTAATCCCCATTACTGTCAGTTATGCCTTAAGGAAGTAGGTCCCCTAGTTGATTAGCATAGTAGCACACTCATGCTTTAGAAGTCACGCTAAACAAACACTCCCCAATTGTCATTCAATAAAATCTGAGAATGTATACTATTATCTAGATCTATTAGGAATAAATCATTGTCAAAATCATTCAATAAATTGGGGATAAAAATAATTATTCCACCATTATGACCAACAGTGTATATGAAAATTTATTTTTGTTACTTTGTATGGAAATTTTAGAGATTACTTGAAAATTGATATAGGCCTATGTGGAGATTATTTGTCATTTTGTATAAAATGTCATAAATTATGTACAATTTTCGTTATGAGAGAAGAGAAGTGAAACCTATGAAGAAACAAAATTACCATCATCATAATTATCATCCCCATCAAAAACACATCATCTTCATCATCTTCATCATGATTATCGTTCATCATCATCATCACCATCAACACACCACCAACATCATCACTATCGTTCATCATCATCATCATCACACCACCAACATCATCACTATCGTTCATTATCATCATCACACCACCAACATCATCACTATCGTTCATTATCATCATCATCACACCACCAACATCATCACTATCGTTCATTATTATCATCATCATCACACCACCAACATCATCACTATCGTTCATTATCATCATCATCACACCACCAACATCATCATTATCGTTCATTATCACCATCATCACGCGACCAACATCATCACTATCGTTCATTATCATTATTATCATCACTATCATTACCATCAAATCATTATCACAATGCGCTCATTCGGTCTCAATCTCCAGGTACCCATAACATATTTCAAGGAATGCAGAGACTGAATCTTTCAGTTTCAGTTCGGTTTTCTTTTATTTCTTTCAAATTTCACATTAACCCTTATTACATACATCATAAGCATCTCCCTGATAACAATCAAAATATACAAAATATTATCTCATTAGGTATACAAAATAATACATACAATGATTTTAATCCATGTAAGTAATGATAGATTCGATATAACGTACGGAAATATACACAAATTGCACAATATTTTTTATTGTGATCAGACGAATATAAAAAATATTTGCAATGAAACATGAGGGAATGTAGTAAAAAGAAAGGCCTTTAAACTGTAAATTATATATTATGCATGTTAATTAAGTTCAACGACAAAATTAACGATTATAAACAACGAGAGAGGAAAAAATAAGACGATGGACTTAAAACAACGATAGAGCAGTATGGTATCAGGAAGAAGATCTCATCTATTCTTCAGTAAAAAAAAAAAAAAATAGTCTAAAAAATAGTCTAAAAACTAGTCTAAAAACTAGTCAGAAAATACTGGGGGGGGGGGGGAACAGCACAAAAAAAGTTTTTAGACTAACAAAATATAGGCCTATGAAATATTTCTCCTTCTATCTTTTATCCCAATCCTTAGCCAACAAATATGCTTTATGTCTATGTGCTCTTTTTCATGAGGAAATAAAGGTAAAATATTCTAGTTTTCTAGGAAATACCTTGGAAATACTCACTGTATAGATAAAATTCGGGGGGGGGGGGGGGGGGGGGGGGGGGGGGGTGTTGTGTGCCAAATTATGTTCCAAAGTAGGTTAAAATCAAATGATTTTTTGCTTTCTTTTCTTGAATTACTTTACCGTCGTATGCTCACAATTACTTCAATTTCGCTCAAATGTACCAGGAGTGTCGATTTTGACAAACATGGCGCCTTATAAATGTAAAAACAATATAGAAATGTAGAAACAAATGCAGCGGAAATGTACAAATAATTAAGTGCCTTAAACAAAAGAAATGAGAAAAAAAGCGTATTGTATTTAAAAACAATACTGTACATAATATTATGATTCCATTACCCCCGACAAAATAATGATATCGATATCATCACAAACAAAACAAAATACAATAGGATCATGTAGTAAATAAAAATAAAACTAATTTGGTAACTAATTCAGGATCCCGAAACGCAAATGTATGCAATCAATTGCAAATTTGCAACAACGATTCTGATTGGTAAAGGGCAAGCCTTTTTAACAATGTGTCCTTGAAAAGATGATCTTGATTGGTTATTGCTATTTTGCGATTGATCGCAACTGTCGTTTTACGGGGCACAGTGCCTTACTCCATAAAACTTGTTTTCAATAACAACTGCCATATAACTTTGACAAATCTGCTCGCAGCGAATCAAATGCAAGGCTTTCAGTAGCTTATAACAAGTATCGTAAGGCCATTAAAACAATATAAACTTGTTCAGCGTCCCCTCTCGCTTCCTTTTTGGGGGCCGCCTCCTATTTTTTTTGGATTTTTTTTTTTTTAAAGAAAAACACTGCTAAAATGTATCTATTTCTGATTTAAAAAAAAAAAGAAAAAAAAAGATCGGCGGCCATCTTGAAAAATAGCGCGACTGTCAGGAAAAATGTACGGAGCGGCCATTTTGAGCGGCCATTTTGAAAGAAAAACAAAAAGGGCCTCCACCTTCCTATTTTTCGAAAAAACAGGACGCTAAACATGTTTTAAAAATTTTATTTGGCCTAACATTATTATTGAAAAGAAATTTCATGAAACAGGTCCCCGATCCGAGCTTATAATATATTTAGTATGTCATTGCCCCTTGCATCTTTTCCAACTTGGATCCCATGGCAACTTCTGGATGTTTACAGAGATGTTGGTGTAGAGGGGATGAAGCTCTATCGTTGGAGGTTCATACTTCAGGTTGGATACTCCGTCCGTCGGCATCCGTTGTTTATAAGACTTAAGGAGACATACCCTGTTTTAATAGAAAATGGAAAAAGAGACAACAGCATAACCTTCTACTCACTAACGATCTGTTCAATTCAACGTAGCTTTCCTTTAGTTGAAGAAACAATTTTGTGTAAATATATGTATACATAGGCTATACATCTTACAGCGTCACTAGACGGAGATGTGTCGTGAAAAAAATGGGTCAGTAGACATGATCATTAGCAGGACATGAAAATGTCCTGTTACCGATTGGACAATAGAATTACTGCTCTACGTACGTCTGCAGGCAGCGGAAACTTAAAGGCCGCCCAAGAAACATTAATTATTAGTCATTAGCTTAATTTAGTTATATTTTTTTGAATTTAGGGTTAAGGTATGGGTTCGGGTAATATACCAGCTTTTATGATGTCCTGTCAATGTACAACTGTACCATTTAGGGTTATAGATGTCATGTTAATGTACCATGTACGGTTATATACAAGTATATTATATTTATACATATTTTTAGATGTATGCTGCCCAATATTATTAATATTCTAGTACACTGAAATCTTTAGTCCGTGAAGGTGTCATCGTTATTAAACACCACTTAGGATAGAACTGAGCCTCGAAGTAATATACAGTATAGTATACAAATGATGCATGAGAATGACCATGGACCTAATATTAGTAGGTCAATGATTATAAGATCTATCGGTACTCGTTTGACGGTGTACATTCATCAATCGCAATCAGCCTGGCGGCTCGAATTCGTACGATAGGTTTATAAACAGACTGAACAAGAGCGGATAGATCCTGTAATGAACGAATGAAACGCGCAACATATGTTTTACACAACGAAACTCCTATGTACTTGTCATCTCAACTTTTAAAAAAGGGATTTCAAAATTATTTCTTGTTAATATAGCTGACAAATAAATCCCAAGTTAAATTACTTTAGCGCACACACGGAGATAAGCACACTGTGACCTCTTTATACGCGTTTACGCGCAGTACTACGCAAACATAGGCCCACGCGCAGTACAAGCGCACTGCCGCGCATCGCTTTTTGAAATTCGTTCGATAGTCTTGGAAATAATTGCATGCTTTTTCGTTAAAAAATGTTGGAAATTGTATATTCATTAGCCGCTCACCCAAAAACCACAATGGAACGAGTGAGGACTTAATTGCGAGAGCGACCGAAGTGCAATTGAAACTCGCTATTTTGTTCTTCTCCAACACAAAAAGAGACGACAATGTGCTGGATTACTACTTCATATCATACTTTTTGAAATGTGACTTAAGTGACTTCCGGGCGCCCCAATGCTGGAAAGAAACGCAATTTTTTTGAAAACTTAAATTTTTTCATGCAAAAATGCTTATTTGTTCTTTGCACGCAAGTCAGATTGAGCGGATGATAAAACGTTTTCATTATTATGGTGAATTTGAATTTTCGATTTTTCAATCAAACACGATCAAAATCAACTCCAGGGCAACTTCAATACCTTAGTGTTTATCCCATAGATATTATTTAGCGATTGCGTAAAATCTTGTGATGGTCGCACATGCAAACTTACTGATGGACAAGGCTATTCAAATTGCGTGAGGCTGATTTCGAAAGGGATAGGATATTCTTCTTTCTTTACATGTGTGTACTTCTCTTCTCTTATGTTTGTACTGTAAAGTTCTCTTTTCGTTTTTTTACACACTAATTATAAACGGGGACTAAACACCCAAATTTAACAATTTGCTCTAATTTGCCAACAAAACTACTTCCATATCATTATTATTGTTATTATCGTTATTGTAATACAAATAATGATGATGATAAAAGTCATTATCATTATCAGCATTATTACAATTTCACTTATCACCATTATTGTTAGTAGTATTTTTATCATCATTATCATCATTATCGTTATTTATGTTATTTTTATCATTATTACTATCATCTTAAGCCAGCATCTGATTATTTATTTTTCAATTGGAAAAAGGTGAAGGAATCATAGGAACCTTGCTTCATTAGACACGCTGGACTCCTTTTTTGCATGACGAACTGAATCGAAGTATCCGATCTTGCCCTCTGGTCGTGTTCGAGTCAGATTCTTGGTATATACCCTGTTAAAGAAGTCGTCGTCCTCGCCGCCCCACCCCCAGTAGACGTTTGATAGGCCGTTTATTGTGTAGAATTGGTCCTTGGTTATCCCGGTAACACCTCCAAAGAGTTTCGTGTATGGTATCCTGGATTGTATTGAAGACGAGAGAGGGTGGGGATATGGTGGGGATGGATATATAGGGTAAGAGAGAGAGAGAGAGAGGGGGGAGGCAGATATAGGAAAGAGAAAGAGAAAGAGAGAGAGAGAGAGAAAGAGAGAGGGAGAGAGAGGGGGGGGGGTTGTGGTATAGAGAGGGAGAAAGAGAGAGAGAAAGGGATGGGATCGGAAAAGAGGGTGGGATAGAGAGAGAGAGAGAGTGGGAAGAGAGACAGAGTGAGAGATCGGGAGAGAGAGGGTGGAAGGGAGAGATAGATAGAGGGCGAGGGGCAGAGGGAATACGAAGAGAGCAAGCGAGAGAGAGAGAGAGAGAGAGAAAAGGTGGTTGTGATGAGAGAGATATATATATATATATATATAGAGAGAGAGAGAGAGAGAGAGGGGGGGGGTGTTGGATAGTGAGAGAGAGAAAGAGAGTGAGAGATCGGGAGAGAGGTGGTCGAAGGGAGAGATAGATAGAGGGCGAGGGGCAGAGGGAATACGAAGAGAGCAAGCGAGAGAGAGAGAGAGAGAGAGAGAGAAGGTGATTGTGATGAGAGATATAGAGAGAGGATGGTAGGTGGGGAGGAAAACAGAGAGGAGAGAGAGAGAGAGAGACACACACACACTCACACGCACGCGCGCACACAGACACACAAATACAGAAGAGGGTAGAGATAAAACATTAATGAAACAGATACAACACATGAGTGTTATTCGGTAACATTTACCTTGCGAATTTAACTGAGAAAGAGAGAGAAATAAGAGATGTGAAAGGTTGAAATATACACAGTGTTATAAACTGCACGAAAGTTCCTTAAGCGACACTTTCATGTTCATGCATTCAACTTTGTTAACTGTTGTTAAATTTGGATGCTCGGGTTCTTAATTTGAATCCCAGAATTCGTCCGAGGGAGACATTTGCAATAATCTGAATCCAGGGGTAGGGAATTGAGTGAAAAAGAGGTGAAATTGACCAGGAAAATGTATATTACTATGTTTGTTCTTATTCTTATTATTAGTAGGTGTTTGATCATTTTTATTATTTATCATTATTATTGTCATTATTATTGTTATAAATATTTAAGTAGTGTTATCATTCTTATCATTATTCTTAAAATCATTATCACCAACATTGATATTATTATTGTATTATTATTGGTAGTAGTAGTGGTAATACTACTAACAGTACTAGTAGTTACGTAGAAGTAGAGGAAGTAGTAGTAATACTAATAGAAGTAGTAGTAGTAGTAGTAGTAGTAGTAGTAATATTATTGGTAGTATGCAACTTACTTCCAGCGCCATATAGCTTCACCAGATATAAAATGCCTAGGCATATTTTCACAGCCGAAATAATTTTGGACGTTGAGGGCGAGGTGATCAATATCGTGGAAGACAACGCAGTCGAAGTTTATGAAATTGAGGGCCTCGACGAAACCGACGTTCATCAGCATGGCTCGGTTGAATCGTATGTCGTTTCTCTGTCATAATAATGATAATCATAGAAAAAGTAATAAAGCCACGTGAATTTTATTGCACCATAGTGAAAACCCTCATGCACTGCATCAACCATAACGCACACACGACACCTGTGTATTATTTGTATAATTACAATAATAATAATAAATAATAGCAATATTCAAGATAAAGGTGAGTTGCAGAAAAAGTTGTTCATGTAGCATGTAAGTACTGGTGTGCACTGCAAGGTTCTGGAGTCATCAAAATCATACTACTTGGCCCAGTCTTGGTAAAGTAACAAGCACTCTACACAGAAAGATGTATATGGAACTAAACACATGTTGTCGGGGCTAGTACTACCTTTTTTTCTTATCTTTATATGCTCATTCCTCAACCAGTTTTCCAAAATTGTTTGGCACATGACATTTATTTGTAATCTTGAACATTCAGTGTAAGTTTCGTTTGATTCTGTGAGAATTCATTTTCTTCTTTTACCAGAACTCAAGTTTATCTTTAATGATAGTAATGATAATATGTAACAATAAAAAATTCAAATATTAATAACAATGAATACTGTATAAATGATAATAATGAAAATAATAATAATTGACCTATGTTGAATCTAAGGCATACTTAATCGTGAAAGTCTAAAATGGCATAGATCCAGAAATATTTTCTCTTTAAATATCATAATGGTGTTTACCTGCTCAGATATAAAGATGGAAAATTCAAGTTTTTGTCTTTTGAGGAAAGGCACAATGTGACGGAGAAAAATTGGTAGGTGATGAAATCGATTTCTAAACGGTATCACTATGGCGACCTACAAAAGAAAAAGGAAAGAGCAGAAAAAATATCAACAATTCGAAAGGATTATCATGGTTTTGTACTTAAGACGTAAATCAAGCCTCGTTCAGAAATGCAGCGGCATACCGCGGCAAGTTTGTAAGATACTAAGGATATTAATTAAGACATTTCTGTATCTTATTACATGGTTCAGTGTATACGCCTAGGGGCATTGTTGCACGCAGTTGTCATTCCTGTACCGGTTATGAAATAAACCGCCCGGTTTACCGCTTCATATCCGAACGGCTTACCGGCTTACCGCTTCATATCCGACCGAGTCTTTAATTTTAAAGAGAGTCGTGTTTAATCTTGGATGATGATATACACGATAAAATTATGAAAATTCAAAATCAGAACTCAATGGATCAATTTACTAACAATTCAAATTTCGGGATGTTTCTTTCCTGGGGACCTATAGTGACGATTTATTCGATTAACCCGTTATTAATGAATGAACTACAATACTTGGGATCAATCACTACTTGTTGCTATATGTCAGACAAGCCTCGGGAAAGTTTTCATGTTGTGAAGAACAACCTTTGTTGAAAAAGATTATGCCTAAAATTAGAATAATGTTATTTCATCGGTCTATTCTTCCGACTCTGGATGGATAGGGGAATTTTATTTGTCTGCCTTGTTGCAAAAATCAAAGACCGCACATCTATTTTTTGCTTGAAAAGAGCATACAGATAAATGTGTAAATGTAGAGAGACAGAGAGAGAGAGAGAGAGGGGGGGGGGGAAGAGCTAAAGGCTCATCACAGAACTCTTTTCAAATCTTCTCCGTCGCATAACAATATAAATATTTCGATAATTTTGTACACTTGGAGAGCTCCTTTTCCCTTCTTTCAAACGCCACCAAACCATGATCAAGAAATCACGCATGACCAATACACCAGTTTACGGTTGTGTGCGCCATTTTAAACAAAGCCAATGATCTAGAGGTCATGTATTTATGCGTAAATTAAGATTGCGCCCATGCAAATTATGATGACATCACTGCCTACGCGCTGCGTTGTGCGCGCACATCATCATTTGCATGGGCGCAATCTTAATTTACGCATAAATACCACTGACCTCGGGTCATTGGCTTTGTTTCAAAGCCAATGACCCGAGGCCAACTGTCTGCGCATGCGCAATGATTCAACCATAAACTTGTGTATTGAGACAGTCTGAAGTTACAGTGTCAGAAACCAAATTATTTAAAATAAGCGAATGGCTGCTACATTTCGTTCATTATGCTTCTTTAAAGAGAATATAAAACATGTCATTATTTGAAATACAAAATCATTTAAAAGCTCGTAATGTCACCACATGGTACCATAATCATAATGGAAGAATAACTCTGGGACCGAGCAGCCACTCTTTGCAATGGGTATGGTAAAGTCCATTTTTTTTCAACTGCCTTTTAATAATTCATTAATTTCTTAAAGCAAATGGCATCCGTTTACCCCTTGCAAACTATACCACGTGTTCACTTATGTGTGATCCTTTGATTATTGTTATTGTCTCGAATGAAAGAAGAGACTATGAGCTTTAAATGTAAATGTTTGAAAGGAATGAATTTTACACCATATTCTCTCATTCCAAAACCATAATGACCCGAAACTTAAGGCCATCCACTTATTTTTGACTATTGGGTTTCTGACCGCTTCGGACTGTCTGAAACTAGTCATGCGTGACTTCTTGATCATAATTCTCGTGTAATATCAAACAATGCGAAATACGCTTTCTAACCATATAATTATAAACATTAATTAACAAATAATTTGAAATCATCGATTTATTTGCCAGTAAACTTGGGAATTTTATTATCCAGGGACACCCTGTTAAAAATAATGTGCTGCACACGTGTGTGTGTGTGTTCAAATCGTCCATTTGAGAAAGCTTCTTTGAAATGAAAAATATATGTTACATAGTTTGATATCAAATATACTAAAAATGATGATATTCACCTTCCAAAGCGGTTTACATGACAAGGGAATCCAATGACCACCGGGGAGAAGTCGGTAATCATCGAAGTCGACAGCAAGATTCATCTCGGAGATCGTCTGGTCAATGGAGCTATTTACTTCCTTGATTGACCTTCGCTTCATGATGATGCTCGGGAGGGATTTATTGGCGATGTCGGTCGCTTCTAGGGTTTTCTGCAATGAGTTACCTAAGAGCTCAACGTTTACTTTTTCACAGGTTGTTGCATCCTTGCGTGGTGTAAGCTGTTCATCTTAGAATAAAAATCAGTAAGAGAAAGCGAGAGAGATTAAAGAAGAGAGCGAGGAAGAGAGAGAGAGAGGGTGAGAGAGATAAAGAGAAAGAGATAGAGATAGAGGGGGAGAAAGGAATAAATGCGTGAGGAGTTATGCCCTAATACACCCTTTCACGGTTAAGGCCGCCATTTTAATTTGCGCGTAAACATTGCGTCATCAATGGTTTCAGATGCGCATGTATTGTAGCGTCACTGCCTGCGCTGTGCGCTCACATCATATTTGCATGGGCTCCATCTTAATTTACGCGTAAACCACTGACCTCTAGAGGTCAGCGGGTAAAACAACGTAAATGAATTTTTTTTTTACCCGTAAATTAAAATGGCTGCCATGTCTGCACATGCGCACTGTTGTAACCGTATAAGGGTGTATTATGGTTCAAAATTAGCGCAAATTAGGCGCGACACAGTCAGAGCTCCAATTACCGTGTTTACACAGTCGCTCGGCTCGGGGGTTGAACATGCGAACGGTGCTTAGGCACGGCAATTTTATGTCATGTAAACGGGATCTCTGTGATAAGCCGCCGTGGTCAACCCAGCTAGCGCGTATCTTCTCTGCTGATACTGAATATTTTAGTGGCAAACTCCCCGCATTGAGACGTCATTGTGATCCGCGGGCCGTGTTGAACTCGCCTTACCGTGTTTACACAGAAACAAATATACGGAAACAAAAGAATGCGAGTTCAACACCACCCGCGGAGCACAATGACGTAACGATGCGGGGTATTTACTATTTATCACAGGCAGAGAAGGTATACACGCTAGCTAGCTATGTTCGACACGCGGATCACAAAAATCCCGTTTACATATTAACATACATTGCTGTGTTGAGCACGGCTCGTGGGTTGAAACATACAATTCTGGCGGATCCACAAAGTCGGGTTCGACACGGCTCGCGGATCACAGAGATCACGTTTACATGACATATAATACACCCTTATACAGTTATACGGTTTCAACATTGCGCATGCGTTGAGGTGGTCGCCATTTTTATTTACGGGTGAACAAAGTTGTTTACCTCCGCTGACCTCTAGAGGTCAGTGGTTAACGCGTAAATTAAGATAGCGCCCATGCAAATATTATGTGAGCGCACAGCCCAGGAAGTGACGCTACAATACATGCGCATCTGAAAACATCAAAGACTCAATTTTTACGCGCATATTAAAATTGCGAGCTTAAACGTGAAGGGGTGTATTGCCGGGTAGGCCACCCCAGGACTGTTCTGGTTAATTGAGCGCACACCCCATAGTATAGCACACAAACATACATACGCAAATGCAGAATAGTCGGATTTTTTTTCTCGCGGGGAAAAAAGTGAATTACTAGGGTAAGTGAATGAGCGCGGTAAGATGACTGCGCCATCTGTTGGTTATGTGAGGGGGGTGCGCATCAATAAAAATCGTCCAGGACGTGGACTAATTGCCGGGTTGAGCACGGCTCATGGATTCAACTCCCGAGCCGGTAAACGTTTCGCCTGATTCGTAGCGTATTAAGAGAACTAGTCATGACAAGCACATGTACGGGAGATCGGTCATATGTTATTTCATGGAGGTCAATCCCCGCGTACAATTTTTACGGGAGGAAACTATTTTGGGGGGTTTCATGAAATGCCTGACCAATCAGAATCCCTAGTTTTATAACAGGCTTACTTAAGCGCACACACAGTGAAAAGCGCTCTAACCTCCGCGCGCACTGTTGCGCATCGCGTACTCACAACTCGTGGGATAGTCCTGGAAACTATAGCATGCCTTTTCATGAAAAGAAAAACATTGGAAAGTCTCAGTAAATGAATCACACGTGACCGCGTCAAATTAATTATTTGAATAGGATATATAGGAGTTGTATAAATTGAAATGACAGACAGTTACCTGGAAGATCCATCGAACTTGGGCACGGACTCAAGGATGCTGGTTTTTCTTTTTCTTTAACGTTTTGAGCCCTCGGCCTTGAGCCAGAAGATTTTTCTGCAAATAGTATGAACGTAGTTGTGATGTAATCAGCCGTTTTGTACTGCGTTTGCTTCGAGTTCTCCGCTTTAAATGTATTTTATTTGTATACTTCCAATTGTCTATAATCTTAATGAACACATGTATACTTCACAGTGTGTAACACCTTTTAAGGTTGTTGTGAATTAGAAAAAGAATCAATATCAAAATTGAACCATATTTCATTTCATTTCATTTATGTATTATGTCCATAGAGGATAATTGTTCATATTTCCATTACAATCTTGCTTCACAGTAATTTCACAATTACAACATATATTTGACAATCTTAAAGGGGAAGTCCACCCTGAAATTAAGTTAGTTTTAATAGGAGTAGAAAAATGAGAGAAACAAGTCAGTGAAAGTTTGAGCAAATTTAGGATTTTTGAAGTTGTGATCAATCAAACACAAATTGGCAACTCTATGACGTATCATGCGAGCTCAACTTCCATTTGCTCAGTACTAAAAAAAATCTAAAATTTTCATTTTCCCTCAAGAAAAATTTCAACCATACATGCACCCTAAATATAATAATTGCAAATATGTTTCTATACTCCCCCTGCAAGGAACAAATATATATTCCGTCATCAATAACGAAGAAAACATGATTTTATGGAATATTATGCACAAAGCAAATGAAGGAGAGCTCGTATAATAAGTCACAGAGTTGCCAATTTGTATTTGATTGATCACAACTTCAATAATTCATAACTTTCTTATTTTCATTCAGAATTTGCTCAAACTTTCACTCACCTGATTTTCTTATTATTCTGCCTCTATCGAAACAAACTTATTTTGGGGGTGGACTTTCCCTTTAATTACTTAATTCAATACATGTGAATTGTATTTTTTAAAGAAAAACATGGGTGGCAAACCCCCTTGCCCCTCTTCTAGATACACCAGTTTTTCACCTTTATTGGTACAATTGTGCATGTATAGATGAAGTTCATTTGCATGATGTTATTAAACCCTCTGAGGGCGCGTTCATGCTTGATTTTGACGGCCAGAATCAGGCATCTGTTACGCGTTAAGTTTAAAACACGCTTGCGTTCATGCTCACTTTTGTAGAATCACCGAAAAACGGCGATCACGATCGCCGATCGTAAACTCACAAAAAGATGCGTTTACAATTTGTAAACGCGTTTAAATGGGGTCAACGCACTGACCTCTAGTGGGTCTACGTAGCATGCACAGTGAAGGTTTGCGAATCCAGCTGGAAGACCAATTAAGGCCACACACTGAGAATTGCCTGGGGGAGCCAGAGAAGTAAGCATGAACACGACATCGTGGAACTGCGATCACGATGAGCGTTTACGATGAGCGTTTCAGATCGCTCATTCTGCCTTCAAAATTTAAGCATGAACGCAGCCAAAGACGAATACTGGATACATGTTCATGAAATAAGTATAATTATGATTAGTTCATGTACTGGCAATACACTTTATTATACTCAGGGGGAAGTGTACTTCTCAAGATGGCAAACGAATGGTATCACTTTGGCAGTGACCGGGCAGTGATCATTCTACAATGCACACAGTGGGACTTACTTAGGCTACTTGGCGGTTTGAATGGCTGTGTTCTGAAAAGGTCGATGTAGAATGTAAGAACTGTTAAGAGCGCCACACAACACAGGCAGAAGATGAGAACCATGTTGCAGTCGTTTCGACACGTCCGCGACATTGTGAAGGAATCTGAGAGATTAAAGAGATAATGAAAAACTGAGTGTCAAATTTGAAAGAATATACAATTTAAAGATAATGGTGAGTTCTGGTTTTAAAAAAAGAAGAAAAATTCTCACAGAATCAAACGAAACTAACACTCAATGTTCAAGATTACTAATAAATGTAATTTCCCAAACAATTTTGGTAGAAAATGTATACTGGCTGAGTAATGAGCATAGAAAGATTAGGAAAGCAAGGTTAGTAGCCCCGACACCATTTGTGTAGTCCCATATACATCTTTCTATGTACAGTGCTTGTTACTCGAAAAGTCCCTATTGCTAAGAAGGGTGGACCTGAATATCAGTTAAAGTGTCATAAACAACATTTTTCAATTTTCACTTCAGTTATATGCCTTTCTGAGTTTTTTCTCGTATATTATTTAAGCGAGAAATGTTTGTATCAAAGCGAAACATTTTTGTATCAAAGCGAAACGAAGTAATACCCTAACTTGGAAGAGCCCTCACTTCAAATAATTTCCCATTGTAATTTTACTCTAAAGAAACTATTCGACTAACACGTTTTGAGCTTCTCAGGTTAAAGATAAACTCCAGTTCTGGTAAAAAAAAAGAAAATTAATTCTCACAGAATCAAACGAAACTTACAATGAATGTTCAAGATTACAAATAAATGACATGTGTCAAACAATTTTGGAAGAAAATGTATATTGGCTGAGTAATGAGCATCGAAAGACAAGGAAATCAAGGTAGTACTGGCCCCGACACCATGTGTGTTGTTGTCCCATATATAGCTTTCTATGTATAGTGCTTGTTACTTTACCAAGACTCGGTCAAATTAATTATGATTTTGATGACTCCAGAACCTTGCAGTGTACACCAATACTTACATGCTACATGATCAACTGTTTCTGATCCTTTCCACACCTTTTCTTTCACAATGCAATCGCATTACCAGTACTAAAGTTTATGTTTAAACTTCGTGATGCATACAATGGTTTATTTCAATGTGAAACCTACCTTCGTGAAAGTCAATACAAAGGATTTCATTCAAGGTACGTTTCCTTTCAGAATGTTCCTTTCAAATTTGTTTTCTTTTTTCCTTTTACCCTTGTTACCAGCTCAACCGTAAGAAATATCCTATTCACCTACGATACTCTGACATGATATAACAAGTGTGCCAGTCCGTATATCATATGGTATGACTAACGGAGATCAGAAATAGAAATAGATCAGGCAAAGTCACTCTTTTGTCTCTCCTTCTCCCCCCCCCCCTCTCTCTCTCTCTCTCTGTTGATTTTTTTTTTAGTCCATGAGTTCTGGTAACCAAAAAAAAATGAATTATCACAGAATCAAACGAAATTTACACTAAATGTTCAAGATTACAAATAAATGTCATTTGCCAAACAAATTTGGTAGAAAATGTATACTGGCTGAGTAATGAGTATAGAAAGATTAGGAAATCAAGGTTAGCCCCGACACCATTTTGTGTAGTCTCATATACATATTTATGTGTGCAGTGCTTGTTACTTTACCAAGACCGGGCCAAATTTATTATGATTTTGATGACTCCAGAACTTTGCAGTATACTTACCTGCTACATGATCAACTTTTTCTGATCCATTCCACACCTTTTCTTTCACAATGCAATCGGATGACCAGAACTCACGTTTACCATTAAATGACAAAATCATCTTTGCTTGAACAAAATCGGTTCAGAGACGGCTGAAATATCAATAAATATAACCATTTCTAATATTTGTGGTGCCCCACAAATATTCGGTAATTTTGAACCAGCCACTGAAAAACGAGATAGCGCCTTATACGTTTTATTCCAGCCAATGCCAATATTGGCTTTTTGTTGGCTTTTTCGTGTCGGATATGATAAGCACTACCAAGCCGGCCCGTGTATTGTTATTATTAATTAATTAATTGATGGTCACCGTATTTTTTTTTAAGTGGAGCTGAATTGGTATGATTATATTCAATCTAAATTCACACATTTGTGGGTTTAAATCACCTTCACAACAATTGTAGGTTCTAAAGGGCACTAGAAATGTCATAAATACGATTAAGAGCGATAACCATGCACTTTAAAGATGAAGTTGAGTTCTGGTCATGAACAAATTTCGGGCATCTGCTCACGCGGTCTACAACACGTGAAATCGTCTTTAAGAATGCGCTAAGTGTGCAAAGAAATGCTCCTACGAGGTAAACAAACTTTGATTACACACCATCTCGGGTGGAAATCACATATTCAAATACTGTTCTTTCCACTGATACCAATTTCGAACTGACTTGAATACCGGAAAATAGGGCCTTTTCGTCTTCAAAAATGGACAACAATCATTCAATTTGTGATTTCTCTATGGAGGTCACAGGAAAATTCGTCTTTTTCACTGGGGTTGTATACTTCAAGGAGCTAATGCTCGTAACTGCGACTTGTTATTGGGCCATCTCGGGCGCCAAATCATAGGGTACATAATCCTGTGTCGTCTGATGTAACTCATAATTTGATTGGTTGTCGAGAAATTAGGGCCAATTTCAATCCAATAAAAAGAAGCTTTCAGAAATGTACGCATCGACCTCCGTAATTTATGCATTGTGCGTAAGCGAGGTTTTTACACAGCGGACAATGAGGCTTAATTACACACCGTGCTCGCAGCCGTGCGTATTTCGACCATCAAATTTGAATCAGCTCCGCGGCGATGGAAAAGACACATTTTATGTTGATTTCAGCAATTTACTGAAGGGAATTTAGATATTATTGACGATCTTTTACAAAAAAGATGTGTAGGGATTAGATTATATCTCTCACGAGACACTGAATTCTTTAGTTTTCCTGAAATTTAGCAAATTAGTGGCACTCTGAACTCGCTTTATGAGCAGATCTAAATATTCATGGTCGATCTGCTAGTGAAGGAATCGCGTATTCATATTGCAGGGTGATCCCGCCCATCTTAGACGGAGGGATGACAATGGACTTTTGCATTGTGATGTGCATCTGCATCTACTAGACTAACATATATAATTTCCTGATTTGTTTTCTTTTTTCGGGAGAAGAAGAGGGAAGAGAGAGAGATAGACAGAGAGAGAGAGTTGACAAGTCACGCTCGCACAGCGGTGTTGACATTCACACTCTTACCAGTTTTCTACGATAAACCCCTATTTCATAAATATCGACGAGTCTGGAACCTTGGCGTTACGCTCTAGTGCACTCGAACGTTCGTCGTCTGTGTGGGAGGTACACAAAATGCCTCATTGATCTTTTGGCCGAATGTGGGTCAAATGTGTTCATATAGTGAAAGAAACGGTGTGGAATCGACCAGAAAAGGTTGATCATCTAGCATATAAGAATTTGTGTGTATTGCAAGGTTCTGGAATCATTAAAATGATCAGAAATTTGGCCAAGTCTTGGTAAAGTTACAAACACTGTACACAGAAAGATGTATATGGGACTACACGAACACGTGGAGTAAAAATCCTACCCCGGATTTTTACGATGTTACATGCCATATTTAGAATATGAAGGCATTTGAAGAGCCATGCTTTTGAGGGAACCTGTCTTATCTGATGTTCTTCCACACTTGCATAATAAGAATGATAACGCTCACAAATTATTTTCACCTCTTCCCAGAACTCAACCTTCTCTTTAAAGGCATTTGAGGTCTTAAACAAGAGCTTTAAAGCCAAATAAAATTGGTTTTCCAGTTTGTCGTCCCTTTCTCCTTCCTTGAGCCCGCCTTAATGTTTAATGTTACTTGACATTTTCTTTTCTGTAATGAAACCTCGCCCCGAGAAAAAACTTTATTTTATATTCTAAGAGATTTATTATATTCTTGCCAAAAACTACAAGATTCCCCACCAAAGTGTATATGAGAGAGGCATAAAGCAACAAGAAAGTACAGTTTCTCAGCCTGACATGGGCATTGCCACTTTTTGATAACTAGATGTGCTATGTGAAGTCATTTTTTCAAGTCAATGTATTCAAAATTATGAATGCTTCCTTCATATGTGATGAAGCATTTCATTCACCTGCTATAAAACTTTGTACAGCAATTTCCAGAACGCAAATTGCATAAATAAGTTAATGTTCTTTTGGCTTGAAGGTTTCCCAGAAATGAAATAATAATAATAATAATAGCTCACATTTATAATGCGCCTAATACTTTGTTTCTAGGCGCGGAACATATTATTACCCCGGTCATCGGATTCAGGCTTACCCGCACACAAGGTATGCACATTCTTCACTCCCTGGGGAGCATTCTAGCCAGTCGCCATTTTACAAGCGCCATTGCTAATTAAACGACATTAGCTTTCGCATCCTACCGGGTACCCATTTTAACACCTGGGTGGAGAGTGGCAAATGCTATATTTTAGTATTTAAAAAGAATGGTCTCCTGTTATATATTTGTTACCAAAAATATCATTTCTATCTTCTCAGCTATGATTTTACCCCATTGAAAAGTAAAGTTTTTGTTATCGATTTTAAAAGTCTTTCTATTTAAAGCTTGGCGCTTGATACCTGTAACAACTTTAACTGGTACGTCACGTTTTCAAGTAAAATGGCTTCGCCTATGTCATGCTAAAATGCATCACATCATGCGAAGAATATCTTCATTTATATATGGCTTGTAGATTTTTGTAAGGAATATTGTACATCAAAGGGCATGCAATACATCTCATTTTCAGAATACCTCCACTGAATTATTCTCTGGGGGTGAAGTTTCCTTTAACGGACTAACAAAAAGCATCGATTAGATGCATGTATCCAGGGAGATAACTATAACACATGAACACGTACGCGATCAAAGGTCGAAATACACCCTTTCACGGTTACAAGGATTTCAGGATTTGTAACAGATTAGATATAAAATGTAAGTTCTTCTAACTTAAACCATTGGTCTAGAAACATTTCTGTGTCCATTGTTGTCACCCACAACCGCTATGGTGACAGGGCCTTCTCAGTCTGTGCCCCCACTCTTTGGAACATTCTCCCCGCCCATATCCAGGACT